GAGGCGTGGCCAAGCAGTTCAGATTCTCGGCGTGCCGAGCAAAGAGCGAGCGCGACCCGACATGCGCCTATTACGAGTTGCCCGTGTCGTTCGACTTTGCCGGCACCTACCTGGCCCACGTGGTGGCCTTTGACGGCGCGGCCACCCAGCTCGTGCAGCTCACTCAAACGGGGCTGGCGTTCGAGGTCAAGGGCCTGGGCGACATGACGCTGCCGGTGCGGTCCATGTTGCCGTCGAGCATCTCGTGGGCCGACAGTCTGCGCGATCGCGATGCTGCGCTTCCTCTCTTTGACAAGAACCTCGCCCAAACGGTCATTCCTTTTCCCGCCGCCGCCGCCGCAGCCGCCGCCGCAGCGTCCCCTTACCTTCTCTGAACCACCCCCACCCAACCGTTGCTCACACCACGGTGACCACACAACAGGTGTCGCCCAACACGGGAGCGGCGGACAGGTTGGGCGTGCTCGAGGCCCTGCTCGAGAACATCCAGGGTCGGTGGTTCAGCCAGCGGCAGACGGTGAGCGTGGCCTTCGAGAGCGGGCCGTCGGAGGTGTCCATGGGCTCGGTGCACACGGTGCTCGCCCAGGGCACCAACGACCCCTACTTTTGCGACTCCCACACCGACGAGCTCAAAGCCGGTACCCGCTTCCCCGCGCGCAAACTTGGAGGGTGCCGTGCAGTTTGTGTCGCTCACTGTGGTGGTGACCATGCATGCGGCTGCGCGCGCGCGGTGGGGGGGGGGTCGGCGACAACGGCAGGAGTGATGACGAGGTCGATAAAGTCGTGGGACAAGGTGGGCAACGTGCCGCGCAAGTTCGCCCTGTCGAGCGTGGGCGTGGGCGAGACCGAGTGCGTGAGCTCGGTGACGGTCAACGTGGTGCTGGTGCACAGCGCGCCCAACGACGTCCGCATCACGCTCACGCGTGAGGGCAAGCAGAGCGCGCTGCCTCGCGCCACCAACATGCGCACCACCGTCCTCCTCAAGGACTTTGGCAGTACGGGTCCCTTTTCTCTCTCTTCTCGTCTCCTCCCAGCAAAAGAGCTTTCTTCTTTTTCTTCTTTTTCTTCTTCTTCTTCTTCTTCTCTGTGGTTGATAGGTGTGTGGGTGTGGGCGATGCAGCAGGCACCACCACGCCACAGCAATTCACGGTGAGCACGGCGCCCGACCTGGGTTCGCTGGCGGGCCGGCCCGTGCGGGCCGACTGGCATCTCAACGTGGAACACAGGGATAACGCAACGGGGACGGGTTTCGTGCGCGACTGGTGGCTCGACTTTACCTCGGACAACTGCCTCCATTTCCAAGGTATCTCACCCCCCCCCACCCCACCCGTACCCCTCTACACCCGCCACCCTTGCCTCTATGTACCGGCAGGAAAAGATCTTCAACGAATCAACCCCCCCCGCCAAGCACATCCTCTTTTCCTCATCTTTTCCCATTATTTTTTATTAATTTATAATTTTATATTGATTGGAAATTTTTCTCTCTCTCGGCATATTTGTAAAATGCAATTTAAAAAAAGCAGTGATTAATGGGTGGTGTGGTGGTGGTGGTGTGCAGGGGCGGAGGCCATCTGCGGCTTCGGCCAAGGGCAGCTGTACGCGCGTGCCGCCACCGACGACGACAATGTGTTCCTCGAATGCCCCGTCGGCAGCATCATCTCGGAGATCGTGTGGGCGCGCTACGGTCGCATCGAGGGCTCGTGTGAGGATGTGGCCACAATGAGGCCGCTCACGGTGCACAACGCATGCGAGGCCTCGGCGGCCACGGTCAAGAAGCGCGTGGCGAGCGCGTGCGTGGGCCATACGTCGTGTGCGGTGCGCGCCGTTGACACGCTCTATGGCGAGACCGAGGGCGAGCCGTTCCTGTGCGCCGACGAGCTGGTCGAGTGCCGCGAGGACCGGTCGCTGCGGGCCGAACGGTCGACGCGGCGGCAGGCGCGGTACGAGTCGCGCGAGCACCACGCGCAGGCGCACATGGCGCCGGTGACCTATGCCGGCACGGAGGACCACTACTTGAAGTCGACCATGGTGCGCCACCACACGGAGCCCTTCTTCCGCCCGCGCCTCGACACCAACGGGAGCGTGGTGGTGGCGCGAGACCTGAGCATGGAGTGCAGCTCGGAGCCGCGGGTGAAGAAGGCACTCATGGTGCAGGCCCGGTGCAAAGGTGCGTGTGCTCATTCGAGTCGTCTCGTGTCGTGTGCATCGTGTGTGCTCAAGTGAATGGTGGGTCGGCTCATGTAACAAACAACAACGGTGCATTAATGGTGGGGGGTGGGAATGGAGGGTAGATGCCAACGCGGCGTTCAAGCACACGGACACGCCGGCCGTGGGCAAGAAGATGGTGATGGCGAGCGTGAGCGCCGACTTGGACAACGACTGGAAGGACGAGGTGGTGACACTGTTCGGATACGAGGGCGGCCCGCTCCACGCCTCCTTCACGTGGGCGGGCGCCAACGGCGAGCCCACGACGGCGGTGGTGCGCGACCTGGCCGTGGGCGGGAGCGCGGTGGTGCTGGGCGAGGGCGGGCACATCGAGATGGCGACGGGCGACTTTGACGACGACGGCTACCCCGAGCTGGCCTTTGGCTTCGTCGACGCCAGCGGCGGCGGCGCGCTGCGCGTGTTCATGTGGGATCTGCGCATGGAGTCACAGAGGTGTGGGGCAGCGGCGTGGCCAAGACCAGCATGCAGGACCTGCAGCCGTGCCAGGGGTGCTTTGCGGAGAGCGAGAAGCTGCGGAGCCTGTTCGCCACGGCGGTCGAGGTGGCGGTGCCGGGGAGCCCGAGATACCCGATCATGCTCACGGGCGCGGCGGCGACGGCGGCCGGCGTGGAGAGCGGGAGCCGGCTGGACGCGGCCGGGTTCGCCTACTCGCTGGCCGCAGCCAAGGTCAACGCTATGCCCTCCATGGTACGACCCCCACCCCCCAATAACAACAACGACCAAATGACACACGACCCGGGTTACATACACCACAGCTGGCGGTGGCGTGGATGGTCGATCGGAGCACGGTCTCGTGGGCGCTCTTCCGGCAGACGTCGCAGTCGTCGGCGGCCATGCTGTCGGACGTGCCGCACTCGCTGGTCTCGCTGCGGCAGCCGCACGCCGTGGCGGTCAATCTGGGCGACTACGAGGGCTCGGGCCTGGCCGAGCTGGCGCTGGGCATCGTCGACGACAACGAGGTCACGCTCTACCTCTACGCCATCGACCAGCTCACGGTGGCCTTGAACATGACGCTCCAGAAGACGCTGCTCATCGCCGAAGCGCCCTGGTGGGACACAGCCCAACACAAGTACGCCCATCCATCCCCCCCACCCCCACCACCATCCTCCACGACCACCACCACCACAAAGGCCCGTCGTCGCTGATG